GGTTTACGTTGCCTCTGGCTGGAGGAGCCGCATGGCAGAGGAAGACAGACTGTGGATCAGGGCACTTCATGCATCCAACACTCTTGGAACACCTATGTGTACTTTATGTGCATATATGTAGCCAAGGCCTATGTCTACACGGTCAAAGTGAACTGAAGGTCGATATCATTCTATATAGATAATGCGGATACAAAAATATGCTGGAGGAAACTGGGAATCTGGAGGCGGGCGGGGGCATGGCGAGGACAGGAAGAGAAGTGCTGGTTTGATTGATCCAAGCAAACTCTCCCAGAATCAAGTTATCTGGATAATTGTTCAACTTTTCACTCTGCTTGGCCTGTGTAGACAAACCCTATGTGTTAGTACAGGCTTGGCGAAAGGAATTTGGGATACCATTGGCCTTTTAGTAGGCTGACATGCATGTTAAAATCTTATTATCTCTTCAGAGTTTTGCCTCATTGTTACATACTTAGTTATTACTCTTGAGTGTGCTGTGGACTCTATTTTCATCAGTTCTCAAAGAACTGGAACATGTAAGTTAGTGAAATGCATGCATATAATTGTACCCTCCCATGTACCAGAGACCCACCTATACCTTCATTGAGATCCCACTTTTCCCTTTCTTAAGTGGAAAACAATCATATTCAGAAAGCCCTCTCATTATTGAGAAATGCCTGTTGGAGATGGTCACTTTTTACTTCTAAGCAGTACCTTTTACCTTTCACGGTGCTAATATTCCACGTAAGTGTGTGGCATTGGCCCACTGAAAGAATGCTAGCTGGACCCTGTTCAATCTCTGTATCATTTGGGCTCTGGGGCTGAATTTCTCACCTATACTTAGAAAAAAACTTACTAAATCAAACTTTGTCAAAGTAATGAGTTCAATGGAATTTGTGATATTTTCAGTTGCACTTAGTGCAAAGTCAGGGCTTCCCCAAGTGAACTCCCTCATTCCTTTTCTGCAGATTTTCACAGGTGTCGGCCTATGTTTAGGGAGTCGATGGCTATCACCCTGTTCCCACCAGGTGAACAAGATAAATGGAATGCATTTAGACGGGGCAGCCTGTCCATCGAATCCAGGTCTGGATTTGAAAGAAAGCATATCAAAGAGCAAAATAATTGAGAATCCTAAGGATATAGTTATAAGAATGGCCTGAATCCAGTCTAATTTATAACCAAAACTAAGTGTTTCACAAACCTCAGCATTTTAATTTATTAATAAAACATTTCTTGCAATGAAGGTCTTAAGCTGCAAGACATGGAAATTGAAAGCCTGTGGTCCAGGCAATTTTTAAAGTTCCTTTCAGCTCTATGACTCCATGAATAGGGAAGTAGTGAAGCTCTGAATCTGGGATCAGCCTTTTCTTAGATATATGCTTTGGACAATCTGTTTCATGTCATCAATCCAACAGGGGTAATAATTACCTCATCAGATTGCTGTGAGGATTACAAGAGATAATGTATGTGGAGCTCTTTAGCACAGTGTCTGGTACACAGCAACCTCTCACTAAGCACTGGGCGTGATAATGATGACGCTCAGTAATTAGGCTGATACGTGATATCTTCGTACCTCTTTTCATGAAGTTGAGGAGGCAGAAGGTGTGCCAGATGCTTCCATGATCTCATTTTTTTTTT